TGGGATGGTGGGACATCCTTTCAAGTTCCCTGTGCTTTCTTCCACCTGGACTCTTCATAGCATGTATGGTCTCTGGATCTCTGAAGATGCTACATCCAGAAGATGTGTGTGTCTCAAGAGAATTACATCTGGTCACCTCCGATACACTGAATAATATCTCCCAATATCTCTTGAAAGTGTCCTGTAGCCATATTTTGCTGCTTGAATTCAATATTCCTATTGCTGACTTTGTTGTCCTTGCTGATGCCTTTAGGGTCAGAGATTCACCTATTGATGTAGTGTTTTTTTCAAGCCTTGATGTTTCAAACAATGTGTTTTGCCAGCCAGCTAATGTAATATTGTTCCTTTGAAGGCATCACATGTGGAAACTTGAGAGTCTAACTGGTTCTTCACTTCACTGTATAGAATGATCAACCTTCACCTTTGGTTGGCCTCCAGTAGAAGAGCAACATTATGCCTCTGGGCATCAAAAAGGTAATGAATGCCCTTCAACCTCTTAATGCTTTTTCCTCCCTGTCTCAGTTACCTGTACCAGACTACTGATGTTTGAGTTCCATAGGTGATACTGATACCAACAGAGGTAACCATGACACTTCAATTTTTAATGCCCTAGGATCTGATTTTCGGGACAGCAGTAATTCTGTGGGTTTTGTTTACCCACATTTAGAGTTGGGAATACTATGTATTTCTAAAATTGTTGTCCACAGTCTGTTCTGGGGAAAATACAAAGAGCAAAGGTGCTGCTTCATGGGGCTTCCAGGGTTAGCTTTGCAAAAGTATCTAGTGATTTTGGAAGCTTCTATCTGTAACACCTTCTAAAGGGCCTGGGATTTTTCTAACTAAATTCAGAACTATCAATAGGTGTTAAGGTTTGCCTACCAAATTAGGCAAATACATTTGAGTCCTTTTTGGTTAATACTGTTTTCTTGTTTGAAAAACTTGTTTGAGGCCATTGGTTTTCTGTGTAGTTTACTGGAGGTTGTACACTTGATGAAAAAGCTGTCTTCATGTAACAAACTTCAAGGAGGGGGTCAAGAATAGAAAGGGCTTTAAGGTTAATGTTGCCATATCAACTTTGTGAGTAGAAAATAGAAGATGCAAGTTCCTAGCAAATACAACAATTTAATTCATTAATGTTTAAATGTAGTTCTCAATAGTTTATGTGCAACACAATTCAGTTGTGTGGTCCTGGCTGCTTTCAGAGAGCTAGGTATTACTTGTTGGTGTCAAACCTTTTAGTCTTCATTGCATTCCACAGCTCATTATGCTTCAGGTGAGGTAACTTGATTCATTTAAGCACAAGGTGGGCAAGAAACATAAATTTTTAAAACTGATGTATATTTACTAGTGTAATATTGCATATAGAATTAGTTATCCAGTTTGCCAGAGTTTCAAAGCTTGCTGTTTAATTGCACATCATATAAATCTGATGGCCTGTGTTTTTAGTAGATTTATGCTTCTGTATTTCTGTTCAGCTTCTCCTTAAACTCTTCTGAGCCCCTTTGTGACTTACATGAATTGAAATATAGTCAGCTTAGTGCACTGACAAATGAAAATAGGTGACTAATGTCAATTGTCTTTTGATACTTCATACTCTGCTTGCCAAGAATGCCTCATGTTCTGTGATCATTTAAAATCCTACACGCTCAGTAAAGTCATCTTTTTCACAGACTGATTGCAGTCAGTTGTTAAAAGAATATAATCTTGAGCAAATGCTCACCAACAGCTACCCTTTTTTATATTTGCTTAGTAGAGGAAGAAATAATGAAGTAAGACTGCAAAGAACCTTCTAGTCATATGGTCTGATCTCCTCTTTCTCCTATGTCGTTAAATCTCATACATGTAAAAGCTCTGAGGTTGGTAACCTACACTTGGCAAAAACCTGTCTTTCAGAAAAGTAATTTTCCAGGTTGGAAGATACAAAAACATTAAAAATTTCTTATTGCCCTCATGAGCTTGTTCCAGTGACATACTGTCAATTTAAGAAGAGAAACAGAGTGCTTCATTTGAATTTGTCTGACTTCAGCTTCTATCACAGCTTCTTGTTATGTTATTCTCTGCTAGATTAAAGAGCTCTTCAGAATTCATATTTTTTCTCCATAGAGGTACTTATACGCTGTAATCAAGTCAATCTTTTTGATAGGATAAACAGATTGAGCTGTTTAAGTCTCACTTAGCAGCATTTTTCTTCAATTCTTAGATCACATTTTCAGCTCTTAATCTGCCCCCTCACCAATTTTTAAGTAATTTTTGAAGACATGGACAAGAACACAGTATACAAAATTGGTCTCTTCAGTGATATATCCAGAGATAAAACTACCTCCCTGCTTCCCGCTCCCCTGATGCAGTTTAATCCTTCTTGAGATGCTGTCAGTGAGGATTTACAATGAGTTGGTGACTACAACTCCTAAATAATTTTCAGTAAGTGTAGTCTCCCTTCACTACACAGCGCCTACAATCCTTCATACTCATTATAGAGATTTGCTTACCCCAGATGTATTTTGTTGGATAAGACCCAGTTCGCCGTTTATTACCCTTGCAGTTTCTGTCATCTTAGTGCCATTTTCTGATGTGATTGCCTTTTCTCAGAAACAGAGCTGTTTGAAGGTTGTACGCTGTCAGCTACATTTTGTTATCAGTCATTTAGACAAATCTTAGTCAATTTAGCATGTGCTTTAATGATATCGTGGGGTACTATGTCTTTCTTTCAGACTATCATTAAAGTCTAAAAACATCAATATGCACTTAGCCAAATGAGCAGTTTCACCAAAGAATAAATTCAGAGAAGTTCAATGAGACCCAGTCTTCATAAAAAAGACTGGAATTATTTCCATTCCTTTCTTGGAGATCTTTTTGAATTAAATCTGTTATTCACATCAACTATTGATGCTGATCTACCTTTTGCTGGCAACATCTTTGTCATTTTCTGACACTAGCACCCATTTGCAATTTCAAAAGTCTTCTAAAGTCTACTACAACATCAGCAGATGAAAGCCCAAGTACCTGAAAGGGGGTCCAAAAAGCTATCTAAGGCTGGTGGTAAGGGAATGGTCATGGTTTCTATCTTTCTAAATTACTAGCAGTCTAGAGCAGTTCTTCATAGTCCCTATGAGACTGACTACTTGTTTCTGTTGTAGTAGTGAAGTATTTACTAAACATATTTACAATTCCTGCATGAGCACAAACCATTCTGAAGCTATACTTACTGATGGGCCAATATCACTTTGGGCTCTATTATTTCTATTGGGCTCTGTGTTATTTCTAACACACTTAAAATGTCCTTAGCTGTTTCAACTATAGATTCACCTTGCCTCATAACTCCCCTTATCAATTTTTGATATAGTAACTTGTAATTTGTATTAAGTGTTATTTATATAATTTATCTTTGTTTTCCATTTTATTCCTGAATGCCACCTTTGAGTTTTTAAGAGAAAGGTACTACTCTTTGTGATTGAAGAATCACCGTCTTTTGTCCATTTATTAAAAGCTTTTAAGAAAGCCCTCTTTCAATGTTCTGTTTTTTTGTTTTTTTCTTTTTTCCTCCTGTCTGTCTTCTTTCCCTCACTATTTTCCTCACCTTGAGGAAATTAGCTCTTCTGAAGCAGAAGAAATGCATGGTTTTGATTGGGGCTGTTCTTCATTTCCCCACAGTGAGTACAATCAGGCCATGAACACTTGTTCCCAGGCAACTACTAATTTTTAATTTAGTGATATCTACCATTTTTATCTATCACAGTGAAGTCAGAATACTTATCTCTTGCAGTGAAGGATATCTATAGGACTACAAAATTACCTTGTTGTAGTTATTAATGACTTGGTGCATGCTGCAGTTGAAGCTAGACAATTTGTATCCTCACAAACAAGGAAAATGAGGATACTATATGTAAATAAATGTTTAATTCACACCTGAATATTTCAGTAGCTTCCAAAAATCTTTGCCAGACTTTAATCAGGCCTGAATTGTAATGGAAAATGAGCTGTGGGGGGCCTCTGATAGTTAATTTTGGGGCACTTTCAGACTTTGCTGTAGGAACAGCACTAACACATGGTAAAAAAAGAATTTTTATTTTTTTTCTTAGGGCAGCAGTTATGAAAAAATAAACAGACTAGAATTAAGAACACGTGTGTAGCACTGAATGGCATTGGTGTCCTGGAATAAACTGGGAGAATGAGGTCAGCCACAGTTCACTCAGAGGCCTGGAAGTAGCCTTTGACAGCTGGTGATGCCGCACTGGGGCTCTGTAAGCCGAGGCACATAAGCACAATTGTGTAGATTTGGCAGAAAAGCCAGGAGCCTGGCAGGTCCTGACTGTTAGCACCACTGTTGACCTGCCTGAAGGCTGCTGCTTTTGAGGCCAGGCACAAGCAGCAGCAGTCACCTTCCTTCAGGAAAAAAGGGTGTTAGACTCCTTCCTTAACCTGCTGCAGCCTCTCTAATGTGAGCTGTCATCTCACCAAGGCCTAAGCCTGATCGCAATGTTTTAATTGCATTGTGATTCCTAAGATCGAATTGAAATGCTTCTCATGCTGATTCTAGTATGGAATTTGTGCCAGGGGAGGTTCAGGTTGGATATTAGGAAATGTTTCTTCTCCAAAAGAGTGGTGAAGTCACTGTCCCTGGAGGTGTTCAAGAACTGTGTGGATGTGGTACTAAGAGATGTGGTTAGCAGGTGGGTTGATGGTTGGACCTGGTGATCTCGGTGGTCTTGTCCAAACTCAATGATTCTATGGTCTAGCTCTACATTTGATTTAAAAAATATAAATAATTAAAAAAAAAAGAAAAGAAATGAACATAGCAAAGCTCCCCGTGAGCACCAGAGCAGCCTCTGCCACCGCTCAGCTCCCTAGTGGGCAACAGGTGCCTGGCGCCAAAGCCACTGCTGAGGGCTGCTGCCCCACCGCCATTTTCCACCACCCGGAGGAGGCGGCGGCTGGCGGCGGGCCTGCGGCGCCGAGGGTATTAATAGGCGGCTCGGGGGGGAGCGGCGAGGTCTGACGGGCAGGGCTGGGCGTCTGAGGGCGTGCGGGGCGAAGGCTCGGTCTCGATCGCAACGCGGCACAGGACAGCTCGACTAGTCGGTAGTGCCTTCCCTCATCTCCGGTCCGCGCGAGCAGAGGCGGCGGCTCCACCACGAAGGCGAGATGGAGGGTAAACGCTGCGGTGCCAGAGCCGCCCTCTCTCTCCTCTTTCTCCCCCGCTCCAGTGGGGCTGCGGGCTCGGGCGCGGCGCCTGCCGGGGGAAGCCGAGCAGCGCCTCGCTCGCTCCGTGCCCCCATCGGGGTTTTAACCCCTTTCCCCGGGGTTAAAGGGGGTCCCGGGGCAGGGTGGGCCGCTGGGCCGGCTGCAGCCCGGCGGGCAGTGGGGTTTGAACTCCGGCGGGGCAGCAGCTTCGTGCGGATGGGTAGGGAGTGCCTGTTGCATCTCTCTCCTTCCTCTGAGTGCGGCTGAGATGTATCTGAATGTTTGAATAAGGTGTAGTGTTTGCAACAATTACTGTAAAAGCATTGCGTTACAGGATGTTTGTTGAAATAAATTATCTTTGAAGACTGGCGCTTCTTTTTCTTTCCAGGCACTGGAATAAGGTAGGCAGGGCAGTACAGTGATGCGCTGTGACAAGACTGCTGATCCCCGTGGTCCTGGGAAGGGAGGAGTTAATCCCACTTCATAAGTGTATCGGCAGTCTGTGCGCCTGCATCAGCAGGAAGATCATTATGTAATGGAAGACAGAAGTTGTCTGTGTATTTATGGAAATTGGGAAGATGAGAGACTTATGGCTAATACTGTGCTGAGACATCTGGGGGAGCTAGGAAAGTAATTGACTGAGTTGTGGCTTGCTTAAGCTCCAGATATGCCATTATTTGCAAGGTTAAGAAATGAGGAATGCCTTGGACTTGTGAGTAAAAACTGGTTGCTAAGTCAGAAAAGAAGTGCTTGCAGTTCTGTGCTCTCCCATAAGACCAGCATTTCCGTGAGCTTCTCCGCTTATCACAAGTTGGGAATCTCTTGGGAAAATGGTCAAAATGACTTGGGGTTTCATGTGTTTCAATTTCACACTGCATGTGAATGAGTCTTTAAAATAGAAGAATTTTAACCCCACATTGAGAAAATCTTCTCACTTATCTACCAGACGTTCAGTGTCCTGCATTCATGGATGAACTAAGTCAATGGCAATCTATCAGTGGAAAGATCTCCAAATAAAGCAATATATTTGAAAGAAAACTCCTGGGGGGGGGAAATTATATAAATTTAAGAAATATAATTTGCTTTTCTTAAATGAATGAGTGTTGTGAAGTAATATGATGATTCTCTTAGTGGTAAGATACGTGTGGTTGTGCTCAGAATATGATCCTGTGCATGTAGCAGTAATGCTGCATGAATGGCAGTAACTCAAAGTGCCTCCCTTCAAATGTCATTCATATTAATGTCCTCTGCCAAGACAACACCAAAGATAGGCTTCTGGTGGTCACTGAGACAGGGATCCCAGTTGTTCCCTCCAGGTCAGTAACAGTGTTCTTATTCAAATGTTGCCCAAAGCATGCTACCAGAAACCTAATTTCCTTCCAAAACAATTGGCTTGTGCTGTTATGAGAGATAATAATGCAATCCCCTTGCACTCTGCTGCTGCAGGTTTTTCAGTCTCAGTACCTTGCTCCTGAGCAGCATGTATAACTTCTGCATACTTTTCCTCTCACCAGGAATTCTTCAGTTTTCCTGTTACCTTTGGTTACCTTTGCTGTTTTTTGTGCTTCAGTCTGTCTGGTGAATAAAGTTCATGTAGTTGGGGCTGTGTTGTGGCTGAGGGTGTTGACTGTAGACTTGTTTGAGTGCTCTGCTTCTGTTTTCCTAAGCTGTTGGAGAAATGAAGGGCATGAGGCTGTTGCAGCAGTACCACTGGGTTGGCTTTGTGCCACTGATGCAACTAGAAAAGTAGGTACAGTTGCAATGAGGAAATAGGTGCACTTCCTCATGCACTGAATTATTCGTGTCTGCTGGAGTTTTGGATGTAATGGGAGCACTTTTGGGGAGTGACAGTGATTTTTAACACCCTTAATGTATCTGAAATTGTGTGTTTGTGAGGTTTGTCTTGCTGACTGTGTCAGGTTTCTCTGAAACTGCTATCCATGACAGCAGCTTTACTGTGCAGGGATGAGTAAGAATCTGTGCTTCCTCTAACACCAGAGATGGCAAAGCCCTGTTTTCAACAGGGACCAATCTGCAGAATCCCACTTCTAGCTGCAGAAGCAGATTCTAACTGCACATATCCTTCAGTTATTTGGCATCAGTGAAGCTTTCCAAGGCTGTTCTGTCATGGAGAAAGCGTAGAGCATTCTGTATTTATCTATTTAATTGGGGGATGGGGTGGGAAGATGGGATATTCCCTTCTATTAAGCTAGTAACTCTTAAGTGAGTTACTAGCTCATCAAGTACAGTAAGTAGAGCTGGAAACCACATAAGGAAGGGAAAAGGCAGCTGCCACCATTTATGGCATATGCTGCCTTTTAACATCAGAATCACTGGCTTCTGCTCTGTGTATCGTATGTTGTGTTGTGTGATTTGAATCTGCCAGCAGAGCGGGGAGATGAGTCAGCAAACATTTTTCATGTAGTATGTTGCCATCTAAAGCAGATGTAATGTGAAGCATGGTAGAAATTGTGACTTTAAGGCTCTGGTAATATGACACTGGGGTTGGTATTTTGGTCAGGGCAGAGGGATAGGATCTCTTCTGTATCTTAAGATCTGCTTTGGTGGAAAAGATACTGGGATCTTTGAATGCTGCTTTATGAGATGAAGGAATATGCAGACTTGCAAGAAATGAAGTTTGCATCAAATAAAGCAATTCTGCATGAGTGTGTTCATTGTGCTTTAAAATTAGTACAGATTTTCTTGGCAGTTAATGAACATCTAGAAAAGAGAAGCTAAACTTGACTCTTGAGAAATTCAGTAAATGCTTGCATCTTTTAAGTATCGTTTATACAACCAAAAAATGTCACTTTCAAACATTGGAGGAATCTTATAGCGTACTGATTAAACTTTTACTGCCTACTGGACAGTTTAGATTTCATATACTTTAATTTCCCTTGCTTTAAGTATTTCAAGCTGCCTGCTTCTGTAGAGACCATTTGTATTTCCTTAAGAGTTTATTAAATGCGCAAAACATTAAAAAGGGGCACATTGAAATACGTACCTTTTCTATTACTGTTTTCTCTGCCCGTGGTCAGATTCAGGAAACTTCCTCTTCAGGCTTTGGAAAAACCAAAATCTCAATTTCTTCCCTTTCTTTTTGTTTTGTCTTCTCACTAACTAGAGAGATCTTTGGGAGTACCTGTAAAGCATTGATGGTTAAGGAATCCCATCAGCACATAACTTAATTGTGGCCATTTTCCTCCTTATTCTTCTATCTGTGCACACAGGTTATCTTATTTTAACATCAATGGGGTTTATGAGGGACTAATAGAGGTGAATGGTTGTTTTGTGCATTGGCAGTGGAGATTTGTGTTGATGATGTTGTTGAAAATGACAGGATAAATCAAAGGGTGATAAGTAATGATTTTCACTTGGTTCAGGTGTTTATGTCCATCATTATTACAGTTTCTTGAGTATATATAATCTTGGTTGTTCTTAATGGAAAAAAATGTGTTGAGTATTGAAAAATAGAGGTGTATCAAAGCAAAAGTCACAGGGCCAGTCCTTTTTTTTCAGTGCCACAACTGATGAGGAGAAGTGGTTTTTCATGACCAAGGTCTTCTGTCCAGAGCTTTACAAAGGAATGGGTTAAATCTAGAGGATTTAGAACAACTTCTGGCTCTAAGGCTTGGGTGTCTCAGCCCTTCATCACATTTCACTTTATGCAAGCTGAAAAGCCTTTTAAATACGATCGTATCCATTGGCAAATGTCAGGGTCTCAAAGGTTGATTTTAAACTGCTTGGCATCCCTCCCTTAGTTACACTGTAAGACAGCTTGTGTCTCATTGAGCTGCTTAAATTTCTTTTTCTCCAGCAGACCTAATGTGGAGAGACAAGACATCCTGTGGCTACAGAGCTGCCAGAGGTTTCACTGTGTTGTAACTATAGTCAGTGTTTAGTTGGTATTGTGATGTATGTGGTGAAAACTGCTTTCACTTTTGCACAAGATACGGTTTTAGCAGATGTAAAACTGTGTGTGTAATGTTGTAAAGCACTTGGCTGAAGACAGCAGGCACTGGTAAGAGCAGGCTGATACACTGAGCCCCTTGAAGCGCTCCTGCCATAGGGTTCTGGGCTGGGAAGCTCAGAGCTCTGAGCTCAGAATGTCTGCTAAGGAAGCTTCCCTGGCACCGAGTGACTCTGGTACTTGGAAGGTAAGCCAGGGATGTAATGAACATTACTGTGGAATAATAATTCACCTTTGCAGATAACTACTGTGTAATACATGTTGCTAAACAATTAATACCTTAATAGACTTCTCTAATAAAGTTGCTGTACTGAACTGACCTGACTGGTATACGTTGTTACCCAGAAAAATCCTGTCATACTATCACTACACCTACTGCATTGTTTGGCAACCATTGAGCCCATGCCAATGTATAATGTGACAAAAAATGGTTCCCACTTGTTGAAGTGGAAAAAAGCAAGCAAGCAATGCTCTAAATACCAGATGTTTGGTTACCAGTGATGATGCTGACCTGAACTGTCAGGTTAAAATGTTGGCAAAAACCTCCCAACATTCATTACCCATTTCCTACCTTAGGGGTGTAGTGACTCTGCCTTACCTATACAGGGAGTGCACTGTTCCACTGGTGAGCCTTAGCATGCATAGTGTGATCACCTCTGTGTGTCTACCAAACATCATATGGACTGCTTACTTCCTAATAGACTGCCAGTGGCTTTTCAGAGACTGGCCACTCAACTCATACAGTTTTGCTGTGCCTTTACTTCTCCATGAGCAAGTCAGAAGCTACTATCGTGCTGTTGCTGTATGTTTTTTCTTTTGTACTCAGCAACCCACTGGTAGACATTGGATTTGGCTTTAGGGAATTGTCAGTGTACATGCATACATGTATATATATGTAGGTAGCACTGAAAGTAATACCTCTTATTTATTTCCATGGAAACTGCGACAGACACAGAGAGCATAATAACACTATTAAATAGAGCAAATTCTAAGCTATGGAACAGTGTTTTTCAACATAGTTATCACCATTAGCTGTGCATTTTTGCCAGTGATGAACCTGCGTACCACACGTGAAAAAAGCTGCACCAGTGGAGGTGACCCACTGTCAGCACTGCTGAAACTCATCACTTCACTTTGTCAACATGCTCTGTTCCGTCTACATAAACATTTACAAGCATTGATGAATGTCAATGGGTGCTATTTTTTCCTCATGGAGGAATTCACCTTTGCTTTAGATATACTTCCATGTCAGTCACCATTCTGTCTGACTGCTCCTCTGCTGTTGTCTGTCACACAGCAGTGACATTTAATGGAATATTGGTGGGAAGGTTCAACCTCTACTGCCATAGAGGAACCAGTGAGCAGAACTGGTGTGTCTGTGATCTGGAGAACTGTGGGCTGATCTGAACAGGGGTAGTTTCAGTTAACTGAAATGTCTAATTTACTGAAATTACAATCTAATATATGCACCATTTAAAGATCGAGTCTGCACAAGGCAGTTATCTCCATTTGGAAATAGCATTGAACTACTTTGCTGTCTGTAAGTTACTAATAAATTATGAAGGCCTATATAGTAGCTGGTTAAGGAGCCTAATGTGCTGGAAAGTCACATCCTGATTTGCAGTGCACTGACTTCTCCATCTTAGTAAATAAGGGTATATGTCAGTGCAGTGTTGTAGACGTGAATTAGTGAACAGTAGTTGGAAATACTCTGCAGAAAACAAAGTGTGGAAGTTTTTATGATATTAAGAAAAAGCAAGAGGAAAAAAGTTGTTAAGTGCAAATTGAATGTAGAGATAAAACTTCTTAAAGTGAATTCAGACTCTTATCTATTTTTGCATTTTAAATTCTGTTGAATCCCAGTAAACTGATGTAGTTAATTACTACTTTTTAGTTGAATTTTCAATGACTAGCATTAAAATTGTTTTTATATTATGACTAAACGTATATTTCTTGCAGACTGTCATGCATTCATTTAAATCAAGTTGCAGGACTTCTGTTTTGAAAAAAAAAACTTGTTTTCACTGTAATTTTTTAAAAAAATTATTTTTTTTTCAGTGGGAAGCAGAGAAATCTGCTGGATTCTTGACATTCAGTGTGGGTCGCCCACATATTGGTCACTTGCGTTCAAACTCAGCCCCCTGCAGTTTCTAACCTTGCTATCGATGTGTAGTGGCTGGTCTGACATGTCCACTTCCCAACAGGAAAAGGAGAAGACATAAAATGTTCATTATTAGTAACAAGCATCTAATTGAAATAAAAGCCATTGTATGTGTCATGTGCGCTCTACTCTGTTGGCAGAGGTTAAAGTTGAAAAAGTTGAGCTGAGAGAATCTTGCTGCAGTT